CACCTAATTGGGGAAAAAAAAGGCCTCATCTCCATGTCTCTCTGTGTATACATATATATATATATGTATATATGTATGTATGTGGGGACACATATATATGTGTGTATGTATATAACTGTATTTATAGATATTTCTACATATATCTATATATATATCTACATATGTGTGTATATATGTGTGCGTTCAGCTCCGTGGTCCAGTGGGAATCTCCTTCCCCCACCTAATTGGGGAAAAAAAAGGCCTCATCTCCATGTCTCTCTGTGTATACATATATATATATATGTATATATGTATGTATGTGGGGACACATATATATGTGTGTATGTATATAACTGTATTTATAGATATTTCTACATATATCTATATATATATCTACATATGTGTGTATATATGTGTGCGTTCAGCTCCGTGGTCCAGCGGGAATCTCCTTCCCCCACCTAATTGGGGAAAAAAAAGGCCTCATCTCCATGTCTCTCTGTGTATACATATATGTGTGTATGTATATAACTGTATTTATAGATATTTCTACATATATCTATATATATATCTACATATGTGTGTATATATGTGTGCGTTCAGCTCCGTGGTCCAGTGGGAATCTCCTTCCCCCACCTAATTGGGGAAAAAAAAGGCCTCATCTCCATGTCTCTCTGTGTATACATATATATGTGCGTATGTATATAACTGTATTTATAGATATATCTACATATATCTATATATATCTACATATGTGTGTATATATAAATACATTTATGTATATATTTATTTATCACGCACACGTGTGTGTGTATATGGATACACCATGAAGGCAAAGTACAGCGCAGCAGGCGCCCAGTGGAGTGTCTGTGCAGCAAGCAGGGCTGCAGGTGCCAGTCCCTGAAGAAAACGGCCTTGTTGGGTCATGCATGCATGCTGGGGTTGAAGCACTAAGGGTTTCTGCTCCTCTCTGTCTTTCCCAAGGAGATGGAGAGGTGAAACTCACTGTGTTGTGGTGAAAATAACTCTTTACCTGTGCTTCTTACAGATGCGCCAGTTTGAGCACTGTGATCCAGGTGCCTTACAGTCATCCAGCTTGAAGGACCTGTGATGAGTTTGAAATTTGGACCATCTTGGGTTATCTGAAGGACTCCACGTATGAGATGTCTGCAGCCTCTTGAGCTTCTCTCTCTCCCACCGTGACACCTTGCACCTCTGGTAAAACCTGTTATTCAGGTACTGCTAAAAAATGTCCAAGTGTTGCAAGACAAAAACCCTTTATCAGGAAAAGGCAGGACCAATCAGTATTGAAGCTGAGAGCTTTTTGGATCAAAGTCCATTTAAATTCTATCTGATCTTAAATCTGTAGGACTCTGGGCAGAGCAGATGATTGTATCTCATGAAGTCCTGCATCTTCAATACTTAGCATTCATGTCACTGTCTGCTTTGTGGCTGATGCCAAAAAAGTGACACCCCATAGAGCTGCTTACCATTTTGGAATGTGATTTCACCCCACATAAAATCCAGATTACAATCTAATTACAATCATTAGAAGATAGGGAAGGATTTTCCAAGCTTCAGCATTATCTCCATGGTGACTCTAGTTCTCAGTTTGTAGCATGGGCAGATGGACAGATTGCTTTATAAGCAGTGGTCTTAAAGTTGTTCACAGGTGGGACAACTCTGCCTGCATGGATCAGCCTGTCTTGGCCTTGTCATTGTATCTAATTAATGTTTTGGTTAAAAAGAGGATAGTGTTATATATTAAGTCGACAGAGATAGTGTCAGATTAGGATTAAATAACATTTAGTGCAGGGAAAGCATAAAAAAAAATCCTGGAGTGCAAAGTGTTGTGCTAAGTTACCACAAGTGCAGCTTTAAAAAATCTGGAAAAAAAATCTTTAATATGTATTTTTTACTGTATAAAACTTACAGATCCTTATAAAACAAATTTTGGCCCTGAAAACACAACACAAATTGAAATGTATAGCTAGAGATTAAAATATTGCTGGAGTTACAAGATAAAATTTGTAGTTAAGAGAGTTGGTAATTTAGAGTGTCAGAAAACATCAGTTAGAATTAGGTTTCTGGTACTCATGATGGCTTCCTGCATCCTCTCCATAAAATGTGTTAAAAGCTGTGTTTTCCCTGCCGTATGTGATTATGCCAAATTTTATTTACATAGATATGTGTGTGTTTATATTAACTGTCAAGGGGATGTCTAACCTTGGCATCTCATTTTAAAACCTCCGTGTTCTCTCTCAGTGATGACTCAAATCCAGTATTGTCCCAGTTCAGCCCACTTGATGGGGTTCTTCAAGACTGGATGTTACAAACCAAGAGTCTTTCTCTTTTTTGCAAATGTAAACATTTTTGTTTCATCCTTTTAGAAATTCAGTACAGTTACCTGTCTGATTTAACTTAAGTACCCTTTCTTCTTTCTTATTTGTAACTTATCTTCAGGACTCAGCAAACTAGTTGTACTTTTACTGCAGGTGCACATAGTAAACACAATTGTTTATGCACTGCACGATTTGGGCTTTAAGGGATAAAATTTGTATTTAATGCAATTTTGCATGGGTTAGTGGGTCACTGAAGGTAAAGAATATGAATGAAAAGGTGAAAATACAGTGGAAAAAAAAAATTCTGGATTTGCTGTTTCTCAGCTCCCATACCTCTGCTTACGGATAACTAGGAAATGTTCTCAGAACCATTTTGCCTTTACAGAATACAGATACATGGCTACACATTTATTTGCATGCATTCCTACCATTCGAAATGTTATAAATAATGTTACAACTTCAGATATTAAAGACTATTTACAGCCTTTTACATTTTATTGAGTAGCTATTGTAGTCTAGGACTGAGGAGGATCAAACTTCAGTATATAAAGAACGTCTGTCCAAATCTTCTACGAAATGCTTCTGGAAACACGGACAAATCACTTGCAAAACTAGCCCATTCCTCAGGTTTTATATAACAAATATAACATTAATCAGTGTAAGACTATTTGCCACGTGCTCTGTGCTGTGCCTTAATGATGATGATTCCACGTTCTCCTTTGCTTTTGAATTAACTTTATTTTTAAAAGGTGTAGTGCGTTTGAGCTTGTTACATTAAAATTAGATGCCTGAAAGCAGAGATTTAAATAACTAAAAATAAAGAACTTCTCTCTTTGTTCTAGAAAAAGTTCCTGAAGTTAATACAATTTCAGTGCCTTTTCATTTCCTGCTCCAGACTTCACTTTATGCTGAGAATTCCAGAATGAGTGGAGCAGGCACATGTGATCTGGTTCATATGTGCATATCATTTATCACCATTGTGCAGAGTCTGCTAATGGCATTTTTGTGGTTTAAAAGGAACAACTTGCTTATTTAAAAAAATATTGTTATGACCTGATTGTATTTTATTCATTAAAAAATGCTTATACAGTTTCTTTTTTTCCTTCCTCTCGGTTTTGCTTTACAAAGTGAGTTTCTTCAGAAGAGGAAGAAGGGCTTTCATTTCTGCGAAGCGTATGTCAATTGATGTGTCACATCAAGAGCTACTCCATTAGTTGTCCTCAAGATCTTTAGCAGAACATGTCATCACGCAGCCATACCCTCCTTGGGACTGCCACATAATGCAAAAAAGGATCTGACTAGTCCCTGCCCTGTTTGGAGACCTCTGTATGTTTGCTTCCATTTGCCACTTGAAAGTTGTTTATTTGCAAGTGTACTAAGAACCAACTGCGATCTTGAGGTGCTCTGTCAGAGAAGCAGATAATTTGTGCCAGCCATGTCACTAGCCGGATGGGTTTCACAGCCCTCTGACTCTGTGGCCCTTTGTTAGTAGTCACACCGGACATTGTTGACCTACAACGTTAATGTTGAGCGTATTGTGTTTTAAAGTCTTGAGGAAAATGCAGAGACGGCATAGCAGCAACACTGACAACGTTCCTCCTGAAAGGTAAATCCTCTTCCTTCTTTTTTCCTTTATTTTCCTCTCCAGAGGAGAATGTTCGGATTTAAGTGTACGGTGTGTTTCAGAAGATGAAAGCTCAAAATCGAGACAGGCATATATTGGTACAGCAGATGTGATTAGACACCCGGACCATCTCTCTTACAAGGAAAGGCTGAGGGACGTGGGTCTTTTTAGTCTGGAGAAAAGAAGACTGAGGGGGGATCTGATCAACACCTGTAAATACTTGAAGGGATGGTGTCAGGAGGACGGGCCAGTGTTTTCTGAGTTGTGCCCAGTGACAGGACAAGAGGAAATGTGTACAAGCTCGAACATAGGAAGATCCATCTAAACATGAGGAGGAACTTCTTTCCTGTGAGGGTGGAAGAGGCTGCCCAGAGAGGTGGTGGAGTCTCCTTCTCTGGAGACATTTAAAACCCACCCAGACACGTTCCTGTGCAACCTGCTCTAGGAGGACCTGCTCTGGCAGGGGGTCAGACGGGATGATCTCCAGAGGTCCCTTCCAACCCCACATCGTTCTGTGATTCTGTGAGGTAACGTGAGAGAAGGAGAGTAAAGCAGAAATCCCAGTGGAGCCCCTGTGGACCTCCAGTTTGCCTGTGCCTTCCCTCTGCACGGTCCTGGGGCCATCCCGTCACAGGAGGGTACAACAGAAGTGCAAAGGTGCCGAGAAGGGTAACAAATATGGTCAAAGACAGGACATGTCCGTAACAAAACCGGGAGGAATAAACCATCCAGGATGGTTGACTTCAGCAAAATACCAGCGGGACAGCTGAGGTTAAGCCAAGACTGAGAGGGAATGGCCTGGTCTGAGGGCGAGTCCCAGGAGCCATCCTGGAGGATCTGCGCTGGGTTTGGCTGGGGCAGAGTGAATTGGGGTTTGTGCTGGAAACTGTTGATAAGCCAGGGCTGGTTTTGTTACTGCTGAGCGGCGCTGACCCAGCCCCAAGGCCTCTCTGCTCCTCACAGCCCAGCCAGCCAGCAAGGGGCTGGGGGGCACAAGCAGCTGGGAGGGGACACAGCCAGGAGAGCTGAGCCCAACTGACCACAGGGACATTCCAAAGGGTCTGACGTCCCGCTGGGCAGTATGGAGCTGGGGGGAGAAGAAGGGAGGGGGGATGTCCAGAGGGAGGGTTGCCTCAAAGCGCCAGCCGACCTGGCCTTGAGCACCTGCAGGGATGGGGCAGCCACAGCTTGTCTGGAGAACCTGCTCCAGGGTCTCCCCACCCTCAGGACCCGAGGCGGCTCCCGCGGCCCCTGCCCTCCTGTGCCCCGGCCCCTCGCTGGCCCCAAGGCCCGGGGCTGGGCCCGCAGCCCCACGCACCCCTGACTCTGCTGGGCTGGGGAGACCAGGGGGGACAGCAGAGCCCAGACGCAGTTCCCAAAGCCCCACAGAAAAGAGAGGCAAAGCCTTTGTGCTGTTACTTTCTTGGTATATTTTGTTTTTGAAACGCCTTTGCTTGCCCAATCTTGAGAAGACCTAAGGAGGCAGCTGGAAGGGGCCTTCACGGCTGAAGGCCAGCACTTCCTCCTGGCGGACCTGCGGCCTTCTGCTGCTCCAGAGGAACCACTGTCTCTCTCATGTCTCTTCTTGACCTGTTGCTCTTCTCCGTGAGCCTCTGTGGAGGGTCCGGCTTCCTCTCCAACGTCCCATTGAGCAGCCTTCTCATCCTCAGGCTGGAGAAACCCCATCGTCTAAGCCCCAGGCACCTCGGTGTCCCTCTGAGGGACGTCTCCTGGCGCAGCAGCTTGCAGAAGCCATGTCAGAGGAGTAGAGGAGATGGTGCCCCTTCAGAAGGGGTGGGGTTGCGGGAGAAGGTGGGGGACAGGAAGGAGGAGCTCACAGGACCCGTAGCCATCATGCGATGGCCGGGAGATGGAAAGGGTGAGCCGGCAGGCCGGCTGGGTGCGGAGGGAGCTGGGCCCCCTGGCTAGTGCCAGGTGCGGAGGCCGGGCCGACGGTAGGGCGCTGGCCGGACGCTCCTACGGCCCTGCGTCGATGGTGTTCCTGAGGGGGGCCTTGGCATGATGGAGTGGTGCCAGGGGAGCCATCCTGCAGGTGGATCCACCTCCATGGGTTCCTCCTTGTCTTCAGGTGGATCCACCTCCATGGGTTCCTCCTGGTCTGCAGGTGGATCCACCTCCATGGGCTCCACACCATCAGCCACCTGAGCGACGGCCATCACCGCCAAGTAACTGCTGGTACCTCCCCTCCGACGCTGCCTCTTCCTCCGCACCCCCAGAAAATCTTTTTCCGTTTGCCCACGCAGAGGTGGGCACCCGCTCGCTTCGCTGTGGGACCTCTTTCTGCCAGGCATGGCTGACATCTCCAGTCCAGTAGCTCAGCGACTGGGGGCCAGGTGCTGGGGGCCCGGGATTTATAGCGTGCGGAACAGAACACGGTGAGGTAGCTCATGGCATCAGGAGGCCATTGTGATGGCTCCAGAAATTACCATATTTGTCTACTCTAGCGGTTGTGGGGCCTGTGGCCTTAAAGGAACCCCATTGCCTTGAGGCTCCCCTTCTTTGTGAAGAAGAGGAGTGTCAGGGGGAACTGAGGCCCTTTTCTTGGGTGTTGCTCCCCTGTGTCCATTCCTAATGGAAAGTTATTTCGTGGATGGGCCCTGCAATGTGAGCAGTGTTTTTTCTGAGGAGGTCCAGAATCGTTTGGAGGAGAGTTATTTCGTATCCAAAAATCCCAATTTTGCATTAATCCTAAAGCTAATACATCCTTATCTTGTTTAATCCTAAAAAGAGGATCCTTTTGTGAAGGGGATCCTAATATCCACTTAATCCTAAAACAAATAGATCCTTTCAATCCTAAATCGATGACGTCCTTATTCCTTTGGTATATAAAATTCCTAAATTTGCTCTGATTCTCAGACTCTTCTCTATGGGAAGGGCTGAGGGAGGAGCAGAGGGGTTTGGTTTAGGTAGGAAAAAGAAAGGAAGGGGAGGAAGCAAGCACAGCTCCCCCGGTGACACTCCAGGCGCATCAGGAAAAGATGGTCTGAGAGGATCACGAACTCATAGAATGGCGTAGGTTGGAAGGGACATGTGTCACTGGATGAGGTGGCTCAAAGCCCCAACAGATGTGGCCTTGAGCACCTGCAGGGATGGGGCAGCCACAGCTTCTCTGGAGAACCTGCTCCAGGGTCTCCCCACCCTCAGGACCCGAGGCGGCTCCCGCGGCCCCTGCCCTCCTGTGCCCCGGCCCCTCGCTGGCCCCAAGGCCCGGGGCTGGGCCCGCAGCCCCACGC